GAGACCTAATTAAATAATAACTACAATATGAACTGCTTTACAGGGTACTCAAACGAAATTATTTCTTCAGGCATTAGTCAACTTAGATGAATTACAGAGAATTGTTAGTTTAAAAAGAATCCTGAAAGGTCCAATTTATTAATTTCATAAATATTTTGAAGATACAGTACAGACTTAAATGCTCCATTACTGCTGAATGGGCATTAAAATAAGCTAAATTAAACTGCTCCAAGAAAAACTATTAAAAGATTAAAATAGAGAGATTTGGTGCTTCTTTTACTCCTGAAGTACCAGATTCCAAGCTGAGGCCTTGTGCTGGTAGCCAAGCATCAGCCTATTTTCTCAAAGCTGCCTTCTCAAAGACTATGCGGCATTCAAGTGACCAGTATATTAAAAACTAAAAGGCTTATTTAATCCTCACAGTGAAGGCAAGAATCATCACTTCCAATTAATGATGTAAGTAGCACTGTAGCACTGTCTTCCTGTTGTTCTTTGATTTGCTCGAGTGGGCACCAGTAACATCTCCATTGTGAGACTTGTTGTTACCATTTTTGGCACATCAAATACGCCACGAGGAGCTTGCCAGGCATTGTCATGCAGGTGGGATACTCTCGGTAGCTTGTCAGGCTCTCTGAGAGGAATGGAGGAATCAAACCTGGGCTGGCCGCATGTAAGTAACATATTATAAAAGAATTTAAAAAATACAATAGATTTGATATTTAAACCTGAACTCCACATACTCTATTGCACCATACAACACCCCATTTTTAAGTAATACCAGCATAATATTTCTGGAGCGATAGCACAGCGGGTAGGGCGTTCGCCTTACAAGCGGCCAACATGGCCGACCCGAGTTCGATTCCTCCGCCCCTCTCGGAGAGCCTGGCAAGCTACCGAGAGTATTCGATATGCCAGACACAGTAACAACAAAGTCTCCATTGGAGACGTTACTGGGCCCGCTCGAGCAAATCGACGATCAACGGGAGGGCCTTTACCTTTTTATCACATCACAGCTGCACCCTACTTTTATGCAAGACAAATCTGGCATAAAGGCAACAACTGCAGAGTTGGTCTACAGGACTGAGCCTGGGGTTAGAGATGGTGTGGAGGGGCCTTATGGGACCTTGGTAAATGGAAGTGGCATTCTGGTGGCAGGTATGGTTCTAGAATGATGGAAGTATGAACCATCATCAACAATACTGTAAAAATACTCTAACAAACAGAACCTCAATCAACAGAAGAAAAAAATATTCTGGCATAAAATCTGTGATAATGACACAGTGAAATGTGGTAGTAGATATTTCTAGAAAAGACTTTTACTTAGAAGAGAGGGGGGAAAGGCTTTGATTTGCTGTTTTCTATTATCTTGGGGGTCAAAGCTGGTAACGTGGGAAGTGAAGGTGGGGGTGGGATAATGTCCATTCCAGGCAGGGTCAATCCAGCATGCTCTGGGGCCACCACAGTTCTCCAGCAGTGCTGCAGGAACAGAGGGAGTTTGAGAGGCCAGAGCTGAAACCCAGGGTTCATACAAGCCTGTTCTCTGCCACCTGGACCATATCCCTGGTCCCCAGAAAAAGCTATTTAAAGGTGTTTTTTATTTTTATTTAATTATTCTGTCTGTAGTGCTTTTTAAGGTTATACAATAGCTTATCTCATGGAGAAGAGAATGCATAAAAAAATTATGACTTTCTTGCAAACATAAATTATGTCTGACATTAAAGGCCATTTCTGAAGTTAAATCTCCTCAAGATTTGGAGGGGGTGTGGTTGGGTCACATCCAACAGTGCCAAGGGCCTATTCCTGGGTCTGTGCTCAATGATCACCCCAGTAGTGCATGGAGGATCATATGCAATGACAAGGGTTGAAGCCAGATTGGCCATGTGGAAGGCTAAGTCAAGCATCTGTGTTCTCTATCTGGTCCCTAAGCCTCCAGATTTGATAAACCGTTCCTCATGACCTAAAAGCTTTCTTCAGATTGAGAGAAAGATAAAATAATACATTTTATACATTTATTATTTTAATGTTATATAAGGTAAAGGCCCTCCCGTTGATCGTCGATTTGCTCGAGCGGGCCCAGTAACGTCTCCATTGGAGACTTTGTTGTTACTGTGTCTGGCATATCGAATACTCTCGGTAGCTTGCCGGGCTCTCCGAGAGGGGCGGAGGAATCGAACTCGGGTCGGCCATGTTGGCCGCTTGTAAGGCAAACGCCCTACCCGCTGTGCTATCGCTCCAGCCCTAATGTTTTATAGTTCCAAAAAATTATTAAATTCATGGGTCACTGGTCACTGTCCTCCCGTTGTTCATCGATTTTCTCGAGCGGGCCCAGTAATGTCTCCATCGTGAGACTTTGTTGTTACTGTGTTTGGCATATTGAATATATCACGGGTAGCTTGCCAGGCTTTGCCGTGTGGGCAAGATACTCTCGGTACCTTGCCAGGCTCTCTGAGAGGGACGGAGGAATGGAACTCGGGTCGGCCATGTTGGCTGCATGCAAGGCAAACGCCTTACCCACTGTGCTATTGCTCCAGCCCATTAAATTCATACCAAAAATAAATGCCATTGTTGTGCAGTTACTATACCCAACCACCACCAAAGTTCCCTGACTCTCTACCACTGTCACTATGTCAACTCTAACCTGCTTATCTTATTCCTTCACCTTTCCCCCAATAATCAATATTGTAATCCAAGGCCAATGATTTGTTCCATACTATGTTTTCCCTTGTTTTGTCTATCTTCCAACGATGTGTCAAAACATCCAATATTTGTCTCTCTCTAACTTATTTCACTTAGCAAAATACTCACCAGCCTAACCCACACTGCAGAAAACTGCATACTTTTATTTTAAAGAGCTGTATCCCCTCCAAGGAACGCCTTGGAGAGCATGTTGAATTTCGCTCTTCACCTGGAGCAGAGCCCTGGCAGCTGAAGATCTCTGGGACCCAGTCACAGCCATGCTGAGACCACTCTCCAATGCTCAGACAAGCCTCACGCATGAAGGAACCAGCAAAGGAACCCAGGTGTGCAGGACTCGGGGCTGAGATCTCCAAGCCTGCTCGGTTCAGGACTGGGCCTCCTCCACCCAGATCCCCCATCCTCCAGTAGCTAGACAGTTACATCCACCAACTGCCATGTAACCTCATCCAGAGACTATAACACCAAGCTCCAAGAAGCACACTCATGGCCGCGCAACCTCTTATTCTCTAGTTCTCAGTCTTAGAGAACCCAGCAGGCTACTGAAATTATCCTGCCCGCATACATACCTGATTGGGAACACCTGCAAAGGTGATTAGAGTCTGCTCCAAAAGTCTCCACCCTTTCGGAGAGCCCAGCAAACTACCGAGAGCATCCTGCCCTCACGGTAGAGCCTGACAAGCTACCCGTGGCATACTTGATATGCCAAAAACAGTAACAATGATGGTCCTCATTCCCCTGACCCTGAAAGAACCCCCAATATGCCATCGGGCTACACTAGAACGTGACAGATACTAATGGAGATATTACTGGCACCCGCTCTAGCAAATCGATGAACAATGGGGTGATAGTGATAGTGATAGTGATTCCCAACTGTATATATACAAATTATTTAACCATTTATCTGTTGCTGTAATTTAGGTTGTTACTATGTCCTCGATATTACTCTGAACACTCAACAAAATGAGAAAGAAATAGAGGAGAAAGAGAGGAGAGAGAAGAAAGAGAAAAGAGAAGAGAGAGGGTTTAGAAAGAAAAGATGGGAGGGAGGAATAGAGAAAGAGAAAGAAAAATAAGGGGAATGGGGATAAGAAATGTGGTTGAAACATATGTTGTGCATCTATCATCCATTACAATAAATTAGGAAAATAGAAGGAGAAAAATTAAGAGACAATGCACATGATGAAAAGAATTAAAGAATGACATTAATCTTTGTCTTTGAAGAAACGAAGATTTAAAGACAAGGATTCATTCTTTTTACCATGCTGGAAACACTCACAGGACCACAAATACACACACACACACACACACAAATACACACAAAAAGAAAGACAGAGACAGAGAGAGACAGACAGAGAGAGAGAGAGAGAGAGAGAGAGAGAGAGAGAGAGAGAGAGAGAGAATGTGCATGCGGGCATGCAGAAAGAATGGAGAGTGAGATTTAGTAGCAAGACATCTTAATTTATAGCAATCAGGAATCAAGCTATTTTACTTGCAGTGGACCTTAGGGGCTGTACTGATGTTATCAGGTCAGCTATCCAGACTTTAAAACTTTTAGGAAAAGTAGAAAATATTTCTCATGTACCTTGAGAAACTAATGTAACATAAAGCCCTCAATAGTTAGTACACTAACAGACTCCATTTCTCAAATACCAGTACAAACACTACAGCACTGCAGGTTACTAGTATGCTAACAATATAAGATTTTCATAAAGATAAATTAACCAGTTCATGGCTAGTCTTTGTTATGAGACTTAGGCCTTTCCAGTTTGGGGGTAATGATGGCAATAGTAAGCTAGGTTTATTGTCACAGGAGATACGGATTATATTCAGTGTTTGTCCTTAGAAACTGCATTTATCATTTAAAATCAAACCAAAAGCAGATTACTCTGTACACCTCCATATTATTTTAACTTTTATAGATCTCTAAAACCCCAAGTACAAGATACAGAACATCAAAGCACATTCTCATAACCTATGAAAGCAAAATTCAGAAGCCTAGAGCTTGTGGGTTTAATCAATAAATATACAAGAGATGGTGTGACTGTCAAATAAACTGGAAGTCTGGCTTTTGAAATTTAGACCTCTTCATTAAACTGAGAAAGGAGGAAGAAATGAGATGTGAAATCTTCTTTGGGAAGAACATTAGCTCTCCATTTTCAATATCACCAACTTAAAATTCAGCAAAAAAAAACTTCTTTCAGTTGCATGATGTTGAGTACTATAGAAATAATTTTTTAATTGGAGGATATTATTTCAAAAAACATTAGCCTGAGGTTAATGCTCCAGAGATTAGTGGTACTGACCTTTGAAATTAAACGTGCCTTTCAGTTCCTTTTCTTCTTTAAACAAGCAAGAATAACTTCCCATTTGTTTGCTATTTAAGATGGTGAACCTTAAAGATAATTTAAATTATTAATTGGGGCTTTTACTGAAAAAAAATTCTCAATGAAAATGAAAAAAAAGTAGCCATTAATCAAATCTTTTAAAAGGAAACTATTTTGCAAATATGCAAATTAGAACATTAGCACACAATTCAAAGGGCAGAAAAGGAAAGAATGTCCAATCAGCAAAAAATACTAGGTTTCTCCTAATTTCATTGAGCCAAGCAAGAAAATACTCACACGTATTGGGTGTACAAGGTGCTTCCTGTGACATTGATGACATAATTGTTCTCAAGTAGTTCATCATCTTTTTTCCAAGTCACATTTACTGATTTGAAATCCCCAGATGTTGCAAATTGGCATGAAAGTTCTACATTTGAAGGTCTTTCTAAAGTAATATTTTTTTCTGTTGGCAGATTGGAATTTCCTATTAGGCACAACAAAAAAAAAATGTGCAAGTTAACACTCACAACACATCAAATGCAATATATAAAAGTTTAAATCATCAACTTCATCAACAGCAGAGCTCTATTGAGAAGTTCTCAATGTAATGTTCTTTTAAAGGTTTGTTCTTTTGCTGGAATTGACTTGATTTCTTTTATTATTCTCTTTCATAGGAACAGCAGAAGAAAACTTGTGTTGAGATCAATAAAATATTAAGTTTCTTCTCTTAATCTCCTTTAAATATCTAATGAAGATAGAGTAACTTGATCACTTGATACCCCGTTACTCATCGATTTGCTCGAGCGGGCGCCAGTAACATCTCCATTCATCCTTATTGCATGCTAGCATAGCCCAATGGCATCTGCTCATTCTAGGAACATGAAGAGCCTCAAACCAATAATTCAGGGTCTTGACAAAGAAGTCTGACCATCTCGTAGGTGGGTGTCCACGCAATCTTTTGACATCCCGTGGAATCCAGTTGGTAACGGCTCTCACTCAGTGGTCGTCTCTAAATCTCATTACGTGTCCAGCCCATCTGATTTTCTATGCCTTGCCAAATGAGACAGCGGCCCTGATTCTTGAGCATTGACGGAGGTCGGAACTCCGGATTCTAACTCTCATTTGAGTGAAGCATGATACTCCAAGCATAGTTCTTTCGATTACTCTTTGAGAGACCCGAATAGCGTTTTCATCCTGTTTTCGTAGGGCCCAGGTCTCTGAGGCATATGTTAATGCAGGAAGAACAGTGGAATCAAAGAGATGTGCTTGGAGCTGGAGGTTCTTCATCCTTTTAGTAATTTCTTCGATGCTCTTGAAGGCGTTCCAAGTCTCTCTCTTCCTCCTGAATAACTCAGGTGCCAGGTCATTCGTCATGTTGACTTCTCAACCTAGGTACACATAACTATTGCATTCGGAGATTTTCATTCTGTTGAGAGCAAATGGAACGTCAGGAACAAGACTGTTTCTCATAAATATTGTCTTTGTGAAATTCAGTTGTAATTCGACCTTTCCACACTCAGGGTCAAAGTCGGTCAGCATATGTGCTGCTTGGTTGATGTTTGATGTTATTAGAATGATGTCATCAGCAAAGTGGAGGTGGTGTACTTGTCGACATCTATCTTCACTCCCATTCCTTCCCATTCCAGTCATTGCATGACTTTCTCGAGGGTGGCATTGAAGAGTTTCGGTGAAATAGTATCACCCTGCCGAACCACTCTCTTGACATGGATGATCACTTCTTTGTAGAACAGTGAGATCCTGGTAATGAATCTGTAATACAGCTCACGGAGGATTCTGATGTATTGAGTTTGAATACCCTGATTGGCTAGGGTATCGATGACCGCTTCTGTCTCAACAAAATCAAAGGCCTTCTTTAAATCAATAAACGTTAGACAGAGCGGCATCTTGAACTCCCGAGAAACCTCAATGAGCTTGGTTATCGTGTGGATATAGTCGATGGTGCTGAATCCTTTGCAGAACCCGACTTGCTTGCATGGTTGTCCTTTTTCTAGTGTTCTGCCAATCCTATTCAGGTTGACTCGAATGAACAGCTTGTAGACGACAGACAACAGGCAGATTAGGCAATAGTTGCCAATGTCGTGGATGTCTCCCTTCTTGTATAGTAGTACAGTCCTGCTGGTTTTCCATTGGGACGGAACCTTGCATTCAGACAGGTAGCATGTGAAGAGCCGAACCAGTGTATTGATAAGTACTGACGGTAGGTTCTTCAGGTGTTCAGGTCTGACCTTGTGTGGGCCAGGTGCTCTTGTTTCTTTACCGATAAGATGGGATGTTGGATTTCGGAACGGAGAACGTTTGGAACGACATATATATCCTACGAAATTTGGTATGTGGGCAAGTGGACGTGGCTATTAAAGGGATCTGAGTAGAAGTCATGAATAATCTCCATTGCCCTTCTGGAAGATGTGATAGATCAATGAGGATGTCGTAGGGCAGTCATCTTGTTCTTGTAGTTGGTGAAGGACAGGCGAACATTACGAATGTTTTTCCTGGCTTCTGCCACATCTACCAGCACTGCTGCTCTTCTGTCTTTGAGGCTATCCTTGATAGCTTCTCTGCACTGTTTTGCGAGCTTGGACATCCCCTTGCAGTTGCCTGAGGCATGCACCAAGCCACGTTGGTGAATAAGCTCAAGAGTGTTTGAAGAATGGCGGTTTTTTTTTTTTTTTTGGTTATCTCTGTCTTGGCATTCCTCGCACAATCATGTAGGTGCTAAACCGGTCGATCATATTCCTCATCAATGTCGTCAACAATGGCATCTTCCCATGTTGCCACAACAGAGCCAAAGAGCTCCCAGTTGGTGGTCGTTCTGGGAGTTCGCGTCTTAAACTTTGCATTCCTTTCTCCCTGCTCTGTGAAGTAAAATTTTCCATGAAAGAGACAGTGGTCCGATCCCATTTGGAATTTTGAGACAACAGCAACATCGGTCAGGCAAAACGGTCAATTGAATATGATGTGATCTATTTCATTGTGGAACCGTCCACCAGGAGATACCCATGTCCAATATTTAGATTTGGCCTTTTGGAACTGTGAGTTACCATGGATGGTCTTGGTTGGCATGATAAACTCAGAAAGTCTGTCACCCTGTTCGTTCCATTCTAGGCCATGGATCCCGATGTGGAGTTCTTTGGCTGATCTTCTCGGTCCTATCTTGGCATTAAAATCCCCAACAAAGATCTTGTAGAAGGTGTGGTCTTCTTTATAGAACTTCTCTATCTCCATGTAGAACTTCCCAATTTCTCCTTCACCATAATTGGATGTTGGTGCATAGACAATGAAGATAGAAACTGCCGGCAGTGAGCCACATCTATTCAAGTGTAATCGCCTGATTTGGGTTGTTAGGCACTCAAATGAATCAATGCTCATGGCTAAGTTCGTGTTGACAAGGATACCGACACCAACAATGCCTCTTTTGTCACATGTTCCAAGGAACAGTTCTTCTACAGTGTTGAAAACTGCGTGATGTGATTGATGCCTTCTCGTCTCAGTCAGACCAATGATGTCGTACTTGATCTTTCGCACTTGTACCATCAGGTCCTCAATGGATGCATCAGATGCCAGCGCACGTGCATTGAAATTACAGACAGTCATTTTTGTCTTTCTCCATTTCAGCAGCCTAATTCAGCCTTGATATTTTATCAGCCTCTCTTTTCTACATCCTTCTCAACTCTGCCGGATTCAGGGTCAGGGGAATGAGATCCTAGCGATAGCACAGGCGGTAAGGCGTTCGCCTTACAAGCGGCCAACATGGCCGACCCGAGTTCGATTCCTCCGCCCCTCTCAGAGAGCCCAGCAAGCTACCGAGAGTATTCGATATGCCAAACACAGTAACAACAAAGTCTCCAATGGAGACGTTACTGGGCCCGCTCGAGCAAATCGACGATCAACGGGAGGGCCTTTACCTTTACCTTTTACCTTTTTTTTACTGGATTTGGCATATCAAATATACCACGAATAGCTTGCCAGGCTCTGCCATGTGGGTGGGATATTCTCAGTAGCCTGAAAACACAAATAAACTTTATAGGTGTTCCTATTTAGGCATATGTGCTGTTATGATACTCTTGGTAACCTGCTGGGTTCTCTGAGAGTGAGAATTAGAGAATAAGAAGTTGCGTGGCCTCAAATGCGGCCGCGCGCTTCTGGGAGCTTGGTGTGATAATCTCTGGATCCTGGACGTTGTTAGGGTTACATGGCAGTTGGTGGGTGTAACTGTCTAGCTACTAGAAGGCCCAGTCCCAAACCATGCAGGCTTTGAGATCTCAGCCCCGGTCCCGCACACCTGAATAGAGTAAAAAAAAATCTATATTGTTTTATGTTAACAGAAAAGAAAATTGAACCGTTAAACAATAAAGAGGTAGCAGGGAGAGAACAGAATCATTGTTCTAACTGTAGTCATATTTGTAATAGTAATTTCAGTAACATTTTGTGTATAACATAGATTTGTGTTATATACCAATGCTCTTTTTCAGTGCTTTTTCTCCTTAGGATCTGGAAGACTGAAAAAGAATGCAATTGAACAAATGAAGAGTTTAAAAATCTTATTTTCAGAGATGAATTCAGGGAATTTAAAATGTCATACAAGTATAAAGAAAATACAAATATGTATGTGTATATATGCATTTTTACATCCCACATGAAAGGATATTTAGAAATAACTTGAAAAAATTTGACAGTGGTGAAGGAAAAATACCAAGATGTAGAGCATTCTTCCTATATCAATTTTACCACTGTTAACCAGACAGTAGAGAAGAAAAATATTCTATTTCTAGTTCCAGCAAATAATTAAAATAAAGTTAAGAACTATAATATGCTTAAGTTAAAACCCTAGTGACTCATGGATTTAGTCACTTAGCCTCAAATGCTCCAACCATCTCTAAAAACAGATTTGTGCATCTTCAGAGTTTTTCCAAAAAAACACCTTTATTACTTTTCTTATCTACACCCTCCCAAAAATTAAGGGGAGAGGGACTATTGCCTTAAACCAAGTATCTAGATCAAATAACCAGTTTTCAGAAAATAGAAAGGATTAGAAAACATGTTAAACCGCATCCCATAAAAATAACCAGATTACAAGAAAACTCAACAAGAATAATCTGTTTGTTCAAAGAAGAGTGAGAAAATATAGAGAAACCAAAAAAAAAACCAAAAAAACGCTAAGATACTTGAAAACATGCCTTTTTTTTTTTTTTCAAAAGACAGGACAGTGTTCGGGCACTGCTTTGCACATAGTTTCACCCAGGTTCCCTGAGCAGAGTCAGAAGTACACCCTGAATAACTTATATGACCCAAAAATCAAATAAATAAATTATAATATATTGGGTTGAACATTATAGGAATAAAAAATTAAATACATTGTCCAAACACACACACAAACACACACACACACACACACACATACACAACAGACAAACAAGGAAGTGATAAAATGAGAGAATGAAAGGTTTTGTTGACTGCATTATAAAAACACATTCCCGGGAGCCAGAGAGATAGTACAGCAGGTAAGGCACTTGATTTGCATGTGACTGACCGATGTTCCAATCCCAGCACCCCATGTGTTTCATAAATTGCCACCAGGAGATATCCCTGAGCCAAAAGTAAGCCCTGAGAAACCATCTGGTGTGGCCCCAAAACAAAATAAGTAAATAAAAACACATTTCCCAATCTTGTGCTCAATAATGAATTGATATCATTAAAAATGTAATGGGCGGCCCAAAAGTACAGTTTAAATTAAAAAGCATAGCAACATTTTTAATACTCTTTAAAATCTACAAAAAGTTTGCAAATAGTGAAGTACAGTTTTATGAAGTGCTTTCTAGGCACATGCTTGAAATAACTACTGGTGTAATCCTTAAATTGCTGAACTGAACTTTATGCTAAAAAAGAAAGAAAGAAAAAAGAAAAAAGGCCCTAGGAACAGACAGATTATAGTAAGATTCTATAATAATGGGGGTTTTGGACCACAGGGAAGATTTAGTTGATAAAACTGTAGGGATTTACGCATTTCAGCATATCTACTACATCTATTGTGAGTCAGAAATGATACTAGGAATTAGTCACAGGTGAAAATATCACAAGATCTATGATATTGATCTTGGAGCTTCTGTTCTCTGAAAAGATTCCTTACTCCATTTTTATCTCTGGGTTACCTCAAACCAAGTTCTACTGATATTTGCTAACCAAAATTGTTTTGGTAATCACTTTAGAATTTGGACATGTAGCAAGTCATTAGGTACCTATTATTAACAAACATGTTATGGGTCAATTTATTTTAAAAGAAATAGCCTAATGTTCTGCCAAAGAAATCTATTCACCAGGCCCTCAACTTGAACTTCTAACATCCTTTATTTGTCCAGCTCTTGATTGCACGTAAGTCTTTCTTCCTGGCTCCTAGACTCTTAGCTCCCTGAGTCCAACAGCCTAGTGACCACATAGTACTTCAAATGCAGCACAGTCATGGGAAACACATTAGCCTTCTTTCCCACTGATTTGCTACAAATCACAGGCAGCAGCATTCCGCTGATTCAATTTGTAAAACATCAGATTTGCTCAGTTTTCCCCAGTAGGCCTTACTCTAGGCCATTGATGGGAATCAAGACCCATGACCCCTAACTGTGGCACTTTGGTATTTAAATATTGAAGTTGAAGGAGTTTGTTCTTACAAACAGATTTAGAAAGGTTTCTCTGACTTTCCTTTTCTGCCCTATGCTTCTCCCAAAACGCAAAGCCAGAAGCCTCTGTTGGTGCTCTCTCTATTACAGTTGGCAGCGCCCTTCTATTAAAAAAGAAAGAAAACCCAGAAGACTCTTAACAAAAGTCTGGTTTACTATTTCCTGTAACTCAGACTCTGACACATCCTGAGATAGCTGTCCACTCATCAAACGTCTCCCAAACTAGATCTGCATGTACCTCAAAATCAAACAATAAAAAACAAAGGATGTTCTGTTATGGGGAAAGTAACATGGTAGCAGAAAATTTTTTTAGAGGAAATTCAGTGACCTACTGGGTGGAAGCCAATGGAAAGAGTAGGCTATGGTGGTGCATGCAACATTTGCTCAGATATGTGCCATGCCAAAAGTCAGGGACCTGAGAGAAAGAAAGTGTCAAGGCCAGCGCAGAGGGAAAAGAGTAATCACAACCAGGAACACTCAGTCTCTTTATAACAACTAGAACACTAGTTTTAACAGCAGTATCAGAATCAAAGATCAGAACCAAAGCGTTAACAAGTGAGCCAAGCAGGTTCAGTAAGTAAATAACCAGTCTGGCATCAGCTATAAAAATCTATTTCTTGCTCTTGCTCTGGGGACCTGACATTGTCTCACCGAGCACTAGTTGTGCTGGTGGAGTGAGTGGAGAACTGCTCAAAGGCTCTGCAAACTGAAGTTTTCAACTGGTTCACTCTTAAAGTGCTTCATCCGAACATAGAGAACAAACAACATGCAAAAAGTCAAACAGGCACCACTGGAGAGTTGTAATCAGCTTTTACAAGAACAAATAGCCATGTTGGAATAGAGGCATTTGGAAACAAACAGACAGTGTACAAAGTCAAGTAGTTGCACAAAGTCAAACAAACAGTCTTGGATGGTGGCGGGACAGTCCCTTCACTCCACTAGCTGAGGGCTGAGGACAGCTACAGACTGGATGTGTAAATGAAGAGCTGCAGTTCTTGACTTAAAGTCAGGCTTAGAATATTTTACAGCAACATTAATCGTTTCATGTATCATTTCTGAAATAGGTGATACATACTCTTACAACCAAGGAACTCTGAGGTTACTTTTCAAAACAATGAAATCTAAACCTGTAGACAAGAAAATTGATGAGTTTTATTACAGAGTTCTTTACTTGCTGTTCCATAGTACTGTGTTCATTCATCTGTTAGCCACTTTAATTTCTCAGACTAAAGGTCTCTGATGGGCACATGAATTCTCCCTTCAATGCAACACACTCTGAAAGGATGTACCAGAAAAGACGGAGGAAAAGATGAGGATCTTCAAATCAAATCAAACCTTCCCTTCTTCCCTAGTGTGTCTCTCTTAGAGAGTCTTACCCTCCCCTTCTGGACTAACTGCTTTCTCCCCGCTCTCAGAGAAGGCATATCTTCATTCATTAGTTTCCCATTAGACTAAAAGTAAGAAACACTATTTTCCACTAGACCATAGGTATGGGTTGATACCTCATAAGGCACAAAGTAGTGGCCTGACTAAAACTACAAAGTCATCTGGGCACAATTTATTTGAAATATGACACGTTGTTACCCGTTAAAGATATGTTATGACTCTCCAAGGAAAAGTTGGAGTATTTTGCCATCATTTCATCTCGAACTTGAAGACTTGTAAAAGGTGAAGCTGGAAAACAAAAAGCACAGGTTGATTGTACATTAGTAATAACATTAAATGGCAATCTAAAAACTCTGCAATGGCTAAAATGTTATATTGTATACTACTAATGAAAGCAATGTTTTCAAAAATATTTTATTAACTAGGTTATATATTCTACAGAGATTTAGAAACATATTGGCTACAATGTGACCAAATTTCTAACCTTTTAGCTGGAAAAATCGATTGCTGCATATCAAATAACCCTCCCCCCCCAAAAAATTACATTTTTTTAGCTTACAATTTGTTATATCTTTATAAAGGTTTTATTTTTGTTTGTTAAGTGCAGGCATAAAGGAATTAGATAAAACTGCCAGGAAATAAATAAAAGGAAAAATTAAGAGGTACAAAGAGAAGATCAGAAGAACAGAAAGGCACAGAGAGACCATATTAAAGCACCTAAGTAAGAAACAGCACAGAGAACATTTGGCACCAGTGGGCAGAGAAGATAAAAGAGATATAGTGAGAGTTCGTGCCACATATTTTCAAGTTAAAGTCCAATTAGATAGCTCATTCCACCAACAGCTGGCCGCATCCTCTACCAAACTGACCTTCAGAATTTCTTTATTACTTCTGAAATATTTACTAAAGAAACAAGGTTTTCATTTCCATTTCTCCCACTCTCCCGAGAACTGCTTTACTGAGGATTTTGCTGACAACTTACACATGTCTTCATAGGAAGGAGCCCCATCTATCTTACTTCCCATAAGTACCAACCCCCTCTATCAACCATGACTGAGAAGGAAGGAAAGACTAATCATTATAAACTTGGCTGCATTTTTTTCAACGTTTCATTCAACTTAAAATAAACCTGGGACTCTTTGCTTCACCTTACCTTTTAAACACTTTGCTCAGAAACCTATTCCAGAACTTTCCTGTTCTTTTTTTTTTATGGGGGGGGGGTCACACCCGGCGATGCATAGGGGTTACTCCTGACTCTGCACTCAGGAATTACCCCTGGGGACCACATGAGATGCTGGGAATTGAACCCGGGTCAGCCGCATGCAAGGCAAACGCCCTACCTGCTGTGCTATTGCTCCAACCCCTTTCCTGCATTTACGTGTATGAGAAAACAATATGAAAACAATTTATTGGTCCACAGCTGAAAGCCTGCCTCAAGTGCTGGGGCGAAGTCAATTGGGATAGAGAAAGGACCACAAGGGCAATGACAGAAATGATGACTCTGGATAAGAAGTGTGTACTGAAAGTATGAAAAGGAACAAACATGATAGCCTCTCAGTACCTGTTTTGCAAACCATAATGCCCAAAAGGGGCGGGCGGGGGGGGGGGGAGAGAGAAGGGGAGAGAGAGACAGAGACAGAGAGAGACAGAGAGAAAGAGAAGAAAAGTACCTGCTATAGAGGCAGGCTGAGGGGTGGGAAAGGGAAACAGGGGATACTGGTGATGGGAAATGTAGACTGGTGAGGGATGAGTGTTGAAATACTGTTGACTCAAACCCAATTATGAACAGCTTTGTAATGGAGTAACTCACTGTTATGCAATAGAAATAATTTAATTTAAAAATATACTATGCCCTTGAATAAACAAAAAATGAAAAAGAAAAAATAAAAATGCTACCAAAGTCCATGATTGCTTTTATTTTTTTGCCTTTTTTTGCTTTTTGGGGGGGTTAGGGGGATTCACACACAGCAATACACAGGGGTTACTCCTGGTTCTGCACTCAGGAATTACTCCTGGCGGTGCTCAGGGGACCATATGGGATGCTGGGATTTGAATCCAGGTTGGCCACATGCAAGGAAAACGTGCTACCCACTGTGTTATCACTCCAGCCCAAAGTCCATGATTACTTTTACTGCTTCAGCTTAATAATAATAAAAAAAAATCTGCCTGGAGTAATTTATCTCTTACTAAGCAGGGCTCCAAATGTTTTGTTAGCTCTGATGCACCTTCTAAAGGTGAAATGCACTTTGCTATAAAATAATACCCTAATGAATTAAATGCATACATCATACTACTCTGTTCTAGGATAACACTGTTTTTGTCCTTCCTGCATAGCGTCAGGTAGTTTAGGCTTATTGGGTTGCTCCCACAGTGCTCCCAATCCTCTGTGTTTTTTGTAACTTCTTTCTTTGTGCTCTGTTGACTTGTAAATATTGCTTTTCTATTCTCCCTAAGTCCTTTGCATAGTTTATTCAGAGCAATGTCCTTTTTGTATGACACAAGAAGACATGCTTTTGTAATGTGACTCTCAGTGATATTTCCCTCCCAGCATCTGTTCTCTCACTTAAGCCTCAGTTGCCCACACTTCCTAGCACCCCCAAAAGCAGGGTCCCGACGGGACTGGATGGAACCAGGGCAAGCGGTAAGCTATGTGCTACCCTGGCATAGAGATGGGCCTGGCCAAAGCGCCATAATGCTTAAGAGCTTGGTCATGGACAAATACTGTTATGATCCAAAAAGTAATAACTAGATTTGGACCCTGTTAGGGTTAGTAATGATTAATCTGGCCTGAGCCCTGTAGTCTGAGTCTGGCAAGATGTTCCCAGGAGAGGTGCCCTACAAGCCTCAATGTTATCTCTTACTGTGTCCATACAAAAATAACTAGTATTGTTATGTTGATAGTTATTAGACTAAGGAAAGGAGAAAAACACCGTAGGAGGTATTTTGCCCTTGGGCAGTCAGGAAGGGCTTTGGAATATCCTAGTTGGTGTTCCCTTTGAACTTGTTGGGCCCTCAGGAAGGCCTTTCTTATGTTGACTTGGCTACCAGACTGTGTGCAGTGTCAGCCAAGTGTGCTGGGGAGTTGGAGAGACTAGAGAGTTGGAGAGATGAGAGAGAGAGAGCTGGGCAGCAAGATGGACTGCAGAGAGATTAGCAAGGGGGGACAGAGAGAAAAAAATGTAGAAGAATACAGGAGCAGGCACGTGGAGAGAGAGTCCAGGCTGCAAGATGGAGCATGGAGAGATGAGCGGGAGAGATAGAAGGAGACAGGAAGGAGAGGCAGCGTGCAACTAGAATGGAATGGGAGGCTCAAAGAGACTGGGGCAGGCACATGGGGAGAATGGAATAAATGGCATCTGATCAAACAACCGGCTTGGCCCTTGACTCCTCCGCTGACTGCCCCAGGGCCCAGGCCACCCCGGGCTGCTCACCCAACCAGGTGAGCAGCCCAGGCCCACCCGAAAGGCAGGCAGCTAGGGGAAGACCCGTTGGGGCCTCCCCCTGGCTGCCCCCAAAGATTTTTTACACTCTATAACAGTGATAATATGAAACCATGCATTGAGTTTCTCGCTGGGAAAACAGGAAGAGAAAGCACTTCTTCTACCCACATATTCTCTTGGTATCTCTAACACACACGCACACATACACACACATATACACCCCCCCCCCCCCCCCACAGAGAGGTGGTGGGTGAAAGAGAGAGAAGAAACAGAGGGAGGGGGAGAGAGAGAATAAGAGAGAGGGAGGGAATGAGGAAGGGAGAGAGAAAAAGAGAGATGGAGAGAGGGAGAGAGAGAGAGCAGGACCGAGCTCTAAAAAGTCTATTAACATTCTTCTCTAATGGGAAAAAAAAGTTTTCTATTCCTGTGCACAGCTCATTTTAGGGTTGGATTGAAGGAAAAAGTATCTCAAAAAGACGAAGGCAGATGCCATTTACTTCTAGAAGGAACTGATAAGAAGGAAGGACCTTTTCTACTATATCATCTACTCTGTGAAGCTTGAAAATAAAAACTTTGAATTATTTACTTCTTTGCTAGGAAGCTCTCTTCAGAGGTTCTCCCCACATTCTCCCCCTAAAAAAGAGCCCCGGGGCTGGAGCAATAGCACAGTAGGTAGGGCATTTGCCTTGCATACAGCCAACATGGCCGACACAGGTTCGATTCCCAGCATCCCATATGGTCCCCCGAGCACCGCTAGGAGTGATTCCTGAGTGCATGAGCCAGGAGTAACCCCTGAGCATCACCGGGTATGACCCAAAAAGCAAAAAAAAAAAAAAAAAGCCCCAACTTCTTTTGCTATAATGTTAAATCATATACTACTATTATCATTATTATTTTTATTCCCATTGTTAGCATCAAGGGGTGATATGTCTGTAAACAAAAAGCTGTCATTTCTATTCTAATTTTGTTGAATATGTGAATAAAAAAGCATTTGGCACTGGAGTGATCCTGAATAAAAATATGAAACTGAGTCAACCAGTCTCTGGAGGGCCATGTAGATCTTAATATTGATACAAGCCCATAGAAAGTGACTGAGTCACAGAGATTTCATAATGGCATCCTCAGGGTAATGGCTATCACTTGTAGGTGCATTTTATATAAATCGATTTGTGAACAGAGCATGAAGCCTAATCTGCATCTGTGAGCAATTCTCAAGGTGAAACAAAGATGGAGATAGGGCCAAGTGGCAGGTATGTTCCAGGTGGCAGGTATGTTCCTACCATTTGTCATCAGGTCCTGGATGGAAGGGCTTGTGGTATCTGCCTTAGAAAACAGTCAAAGAGGAAGAAAGAGAAAGGAAAAAAGAAGAAAGCATACTTTCGTAGCAGAGATGTTTGGTGGGATCAGGATAGCTTCATGGTCCAAGTGGCTGCTTTGCAAGCGTGAGGCTGCCAGCTTGCTCCGGGTGTGTCTCTGTGTGTCCCAGTAATTGTGCTATTTGAGGCCCTCAATACCACAACTGCACACTGCAGCTAGTTGTATATATGCATAATAACTGAACCTCAGCACGCTGCAGCTAGCTGTGTGTAAGCATCACAACTGAAGTGTGTGAGCACTGCAAGTCAAAGTGTGCAAGTACAGTGGCCAGGCACACAAGTGTATATACTTGCATAACACCACTGAAAGTGTGCAGTTCCTAAGGAGCACATCAGCCAATGGGTGACTGTTGCTGATAACCATAACCACTATGGGTGTGGCTGTTGCTCACTGCGACCTCAGCAAAGAGGAAGAAAGGAAGGGGGATTTAGAAATAGAAGGGGCCAGAGAGACAGTAAAGCAGATAGGATA